AAATAATAACTAATGAATAAAAACATAAAAATAAATGTACCAGTCGCTGAATTGGTTAATAAAAAACTATGAAAGAATATCACACAAAAACCATAAAAAAAAATCTTTTTGGCGAATGCACTAAATATATAAAATTATTTTTTAAAAAGAATAAATTAATTAAATATTATTATTTAATTTTATTATTTTTTACAAATTATTATAAGATATTAATTAATTATTATAAGATATTAGTTAATAAACTTAACATCAGTTTTCATGTTAAATATTCAATAACCAATTTTATAAAGTAAATTTACTGATGCATTAATATATGTCTCACATAATAAGTTTATATAATAAATAGTTAGCAAATAAAATTTATATTTTATATCCTATTTAAATCCAATTAATTTAATTTAATTTAATTAAACTTATTTAATTTCATTTAATTTAAATTTTAATATCCCCTATTTATATCCAATTAAAAAATATTGTCACATTTATTCTTATTCAAAATAATTAATTTTATGAATAATTAATTTTATGAATAATTCATTTTCTGATTGCAGGCATTAATAAACAATTCTTCAATTAATAAAGTTAGAAAATTCTTGCACTGACAAATAAAATAACAAATTACTTTACAAAAACTTTAAATTTGTGAAAATAAATATTTGAGTGTGTTGTATAATCAATACTTTAAAATACGAAAAAGTCTTATTTATCCTATATGGAAATTGTATATTCTTATTTAACACTAGATTTACGAGACAATTTGACGGCCAATTTAATGGATATTCGGAGAAATAGGTATACGACATAGATAATTTCAAAATTAGAAGTCTGAGGAATAAATGAATAATTTGGGTATATATTCGTTCCATTAATAAACGTCAACAAAAATTGCTAGAAAATAATAATAATAATTTCTGTAAATTTGCTCGTGAAATCCGAAACCCGTCAAATTGACAGGTCCCGTAAATCTAGACTAAAACAACAACAGCTGAAATTAAATTTAAAAAACGACTAAAACGATAAAAAAATCCAGGTTTAACAAAGTGTCCACACATTCATTGGTACTTTCTCCTTAAATAAAAAACCGCAAGTTACTTCCGAGAATTCCGCCATAAGGAACTCTCAAACTCACATTGCACTTAATCATATTTTGCGTAATAATAAAAGTGCGCAGATTCTTATCAACCTTTAATATGCTTTTTTACTTTTAGATGCACTCTATACAACTATATTCAGTAATTTTTTTTTGGAGGAGAGGGAAAGAGGAATTCCTCCACGTATCGATTTACAACTTGGCACATTTATTATATAAGTACAAAGGAATATATTTAAAAAAACTCTACTTAGGCCACATAATGAGAACCAATTAATATTTGAATATTATAAAATAATTGTTATTTGTGGGAAATGCTATACCTAAAATTTTAAAAGCATTTTTCCGTTATGTCCATGTTTCCGAAATGAACGTACAAGATTTCTCAGGAATTATTTAATCGATCAAATTAAAACTTTCTACATATCTTTAGTACACTTATATCAAAGATAAGTATCTCAATTTCACGAAAAACTGAAAATTAACAAAATGATATCGAGGCAAAGTGGAAGTTGCGCTTCTCTCATCAAAAGAAACGATTTTTCACATAAAGAAAAAGTAAAGTTAAGTTCCAAAATTTTAGAAAATCCAAGCTATACATACATGCTCTTAATATGCATGCACTACAAATATATAGGACATTTGAAATCAGTTTCCGTTAAATAGTCTTTCAGAAATGTACACCAATTCCGAAAACATCATGAAAAATGCGTTTAAAGTTTTAGGTACGATATGTCCGAATAATTATTATTAATTTTAATATTTCTTTGCACTTATACTATTACGGTATCTGATAATTATCAGCACACGTTGTGTGTAGATAGAATTTATCACAAAATTCCTTTATTAATTTGCAAACAACCATGTAAAATTTTGAATTATTAATTAAAAAAGAATGATCATGTACAGTAAATGAGCTGTAATGGCGACTAGTACATAATAGTACATAGTAATGGGTACTAGTACATTAAGACAAACTGAACAAAAAAGTCCTCTACCATTTTTCAAATAACTACTTAGATTTTTAGTTATTAATTAAAGAAGATTGGCACGTTATCACGTACAATCATATACTAATCTTCTTTAGTTAATAACTAAAAATCTACGTGGTCATTTGTAAAATGATAGAGGACCTTTTTGTTGAGTTTGACTTAATAGTATAAGCACATGACGGTAAACGTCGCCATTTACCGTATCGTGCGCATCTGGTGATTCACCGATTTTCTTTAATTAATAACTCAAAATTTTACGCGATTGTTTGCAAAATAATAGAGGAATTTTATGTTCAGCTTGATGAGTTCTATTTGCACACAATAAGTAATTTGTACCCAGTTAACACGCTTATCAGAATGAGAACTGAAAGATGACTTTTTTAAGAACACATTTTGATATCTCGGAAATAATGTCTAAATAATATCGAATAATCATCATGTCCCAGAGACATCTGTTAAAAGAGCTCATGAAGTTCTCCCGTTTGAAAGATTTCTTGAAAATATGCGATAAATGTAAAATAAATATCGAAATAAATATTGAATAAATTATTTGAATAAACATTCAGTGTTCAGGGCAGCATAAGACCATATATTAATTTGTTATAAATTTTTAAGAATCTAACCGCCAAATCGAGCTCTGTAGCACCCTTGGCAATAATACAAGAAAGACTTGAAAAATTGTTTGGTAAACAAATGTTATATCCATGAGGCAAAATTTAGCAAGTGCAGATACAACGAAAAGTGTAATCTAGATACACTTTAATACAGGTTATCCAATATTCCTGTCTTGCATCCACGCGATCCGTGCATTAGTATTCGTGCCTCTTCACCGATTTGAAACTTCGTCAGTTCGTATTTTGATGAGTAGAACATAAATCTGCAAAAAAAAGTGTCGCTCTTAAGCGGATTAAAAGTTATGAAATATTGAAAAATAACACTTGTAGGAAATCCATCATGTCAACGATGCGATGTGGGGTTAGGAAATCTATCAGCGCATCGTCGACACTTCATAACTTTTAACTCGCTTGAGAGTGACACTTTTCTTGCAGAATCGTGTTTTACGCATCAGAATACACGATCTGACGAAGTTTCATGCAAATCGATGAAGAGGTCCCTCTCCTTTATAATTACCACTATTTTAAGAAATTATTTTGACATCATAAATATGAGATTTCAATATGTTGACATACCTAGGATATCTTAAATATATCCCTTTCTGATAAATAATTTTGACATTTTATCGTGATATCTTTTTGTTCTCAAAAAACGCACATTAGATAACATTTTGTTATCGTTTTGACAGCTTTTCGAAGCCTCTTCATGTTATCAGATTTCAGATTCAAATATTTTTTAGAGATGTTTTTGATAACTTCTTGCTCAGTGGGTATCAAACACTTTGTATAATAAGTATGGCAAGTTATATATTGATACGTTACGAAGTTTTTCTAAAAAAAATGTCTGTATATAGCCTATTTTATTTTGGGCGACCAAACATAGATGAAAGAATATTTGATCCAATTAGATCGTAAGATCAGTTGGATCATGAGAATATTTTACGAATTTTAATTCCTTTTACGAAAAATTCACAGAATTATATATTATATTATTATATTAAATATATTAAATTTAGAAATAAATTGTATTATTATTCAGAATGGTATTATATTTTCCTCTTTATAAACACACATAACGCATGGAATTATGCGAGATTAAAGCCTATGCACGCGCGACGAACACACCCGGGGGATATTTTCCTCCGCGGTTGATTGATTAAAGCCAAGAGAGCCGGCGCACCGACGTAAATATCTTACCTGTCCGATATGTATCCAGCGAACATCAGACCAACGAATTGACCGACGCTATTTACCGTGCCAACCAGGGTGAGCTTCCATCGATTAGCGTTGCAGGTTAAGTCCCACTGTATCACGATAAGCAAGGGAAAACGGTAAAACACGACCGTGCCTCGATGGGTCTCGGAGAGAAAGGGATCGGCTTGATTAAGGGGTAAAACCACTGTAGAAACTAAGTCACTGTAGGAAAATAAGCCTGATTTTTAACGACATTTTTAGAGGTGAGAAAATAAAATGAAAAATCTCTTTTAAGGACTTTATTCTACAAACATTAAAGTATGTAAAATGATTTTTTTTTTTATTTTTTTATCCAAAATAGCGCGTGTACAGCCTCTCGTGCGCAGCCACTTTTTCGTTACGGCCCTTCGCGGCTAGCAGATTTCTTGAACGGTTACACCTAGAACAAAAAACCAAAAATTTTCAGAAACTAAATAAAATTTTCTTTGGAAGAACGTAGGAAAATGAAAAAATATAATGATTTGTAAAAATGATGGAGCTATAAAGAAAGAATTTCATTTTTTGACTAAAAATTCCGCACAAATTTGTTTATAATCAAAAAAGTTTTGAAGTAATCGTAAAATCCCTATGTACTTTTCTAGAAAATCTATTTAAGAAAATACCCTTAAAATTTCAAGTCAATCGAATAAAAATTGTTTGAATTATGCTAGCCGATTTGAAAAACGTGAATTCGAGAAAAGCGTATTTAAAGTTTTCAGTAACAATTGTTTTCTATTTAACACGAGAAATTTGTAATGTACCTTCAATCTGCGATGCCTGCTCCATACAATTGCCCTTCCAAGTCCAAATTAGTCTCCTCTTTTTCTTCCCTGGTTGATTTAGAACCTCTCCGAGCATCTTTTGCGTCAAACGTCTTGCGCTCTACAAATTTGACGCGGCGCGCATCAGCTTGTACACAGAAGTTATTACAAATTAGGCCCACATCAACTCCTAATATTTGCATTATTTTCATTATACCATTGAATCCATCATTAAAATGGCAAGTGACAATATCTGCGGAGATATCAAGTACTATTTTACCGCTGGAGAATGCTTTTAGAGCTATGCTCCACACACAATTATTATAACTTTCGTTATTATTTTGTGTGTACTCTCCAAGGCAACGACTTAGCAAATCATCGCTGCTTAGGTTTTCATATATAGGCTTAATAGCTGTGAAAACATCTGGGTGAAAAGGTGGTTTATGCACGTATTGATGTAAAGTATTGGCAGCTTTCGCTCATTGCCAGGAGCACCACGATTGCTCGCCTTCTGGGCATTTCTCGTGCTGCAGCTGCGCATCACTTGAAAGTTTATGATAACGTCGCCCATATATCGTTTCTCATCTTCTCCATAGAGTCAGGATTGCGACGAATAGCTAATCCGTAGTAGATTGATAACTCATCGATTAATTTACCGGTAAGTTTACCTTTACCGCCGAGTCCCTCTTTTTAAATTTCGCAAGCGCGTCCCCATTCTGCACGTGATCTATGCACTCTTTCTTTTTTACTGCAAAATGTTTGTAGTGATTAGCATCTAAAACTCCTTTGAAGGTCTTGCTGCCGCCATCGTCGATATAATTAACGTATTTAACATTGTGAAGTGTTTCGGAGCGCTGAAACATCTCGATCACGGAATCAACTTCCATCTTACCAGATGAGCCGTCATGATTAATTTGATATTCATTTGAATACGTCTTCGCCCACTCATCGTATTCAGCTGTACCTTCTTTCTTACTCCAAAATTCACAGGATATACAGTACTTAGATTTTACTACGATGTCGATGACTTTTTGTATACCAACTTTTCTGTGTACCAACCGATAAGAGTCACTAATCCGTACAAAGATGAAAATCCTCTTTACCGCCATGATCCGTCGCCAGAAACATCGACCGTCGTAAAACCATCGACCTGCTTATTTTTTTTTAGAAAGTCTCTTTTCTTCTTCAGCTGCTTTTTTGTGCATTCCAAACGAACTGCTGCTGTAGCCGTAGCGAGTTTTGCAATAATTTTATCATAAAATGATTGGAAAATCGGTCGCGGAAGATCCATAAATCCACAAAATTTATTTATACCATGTAAACCTACACCCAATAAACGCATTGCGAGCATTATGCAACGGTTAACTTCGTATCCATTATTAACATAAGGACAGCTAGATATAGCAGTTTGTCCACATTCTTTGCAAGAAACAATAATTTTGAAGCCCAAGCTGCGCTTACTTGCTTCACTAAATTTTACGTCTTTTCCGCATTTCTTACATACCACTTCAGCAATAGCAGCAAAAATAGTGAGAAAGTTTATCAAACAATACCCGATTTCATTATTCACTTCAACATCATAGTCGTTCCTGGATGTATTGAGTTTTTGAGCAGGCATGCTCACGTTCTCGGGACTTTCTTCCTTTTCGTATCGATTCTGTAGACGTCTGTTTGATATTTTACTCCTTTTTATAGCTGTTAGTCTTAGTACCTTTTTTCTAGCATACACTTTTCTCTTTTCACTCATGTTCGTTAAAAAGTTTAAAATAAAAACTGAAGTAAAATATTCACTAGTATTCTAAATAGTATTCTAAGCAGTATTCTAAACAGAAAACTGTCTAAGATTCCCAACAATCAGAAATAATATATTGTCATCGCGAATCTTCTAAAAGAGGATTCGACACGATTCACGTGATCGGCGCATGATCACCACCAATTCCTGCGAGGAACTTGTAGTGATATGGTCTATTAAATAATAATATTTATCTCGAATTCCAAACATAACACTGAGTATTACAAAGATTCCTTGAACCACAACACCAGATATTCCTCGCATCATAATAGAAAACCTATATCAAAATTTAGCGAAAATTCAAAAATAAGTGTAGCTGACAACCAAATTGGCCTCAGCGTGTTCACGAAGAGCGTAGTGCGAAATAGAGGAAAATTTCCGTCGCGTCTAAAACAACGTATGTCCGACTCCTAAATCGGCACAGTAGCGCGCTACACAAAAGGCGCTCAAATCGACTTTAAAAATTTTTCCTCGCTATAAGGCCTACTGCTTCTTATTTTTAAGACCCTAGGCCCTTATAGAAATATCATACTAAGAATCATTGATAATTACTTATTATCCAGTATTTTTAATACTGAAAATAAGTAACTATCAATGATTCTTAGTATGATATTTCTATAAGGGGAGTATCATTTAAGCCAAAAGAAATATCGATTTTCCGGAATTTCTAAAGTGGTTGTACCCCTTAAGCGCGGGAGCCACTTTACCTCGTTGAGTATTGTACTCTCGGTCGGATCGTAAACCCAGGAGTCGCAGTCGCGGGTCACATTTGTAAACGAATTAATCGTACATGCGCCTGAATGATCTCGCACAGTGTAACGCGTACAACGCGACATGTCATCTCCCTTGATTCTCGGAGCGGAAGCGTTCACCCAAGTCGGATTGAATGTCGCATTTTCCGGGCGCTCGCATTCTGGCACCAAACACCTGCGCATTCAAACAAAAGAAAATTATCTTCTCGGAAAAGAAAGATTTTTGTTGTTGCAAATGGAAGTTTCGTTAGTTTAACAAAATTATAGCCATAATATATCGTATAAGTCGTTATTCTAGGTTATAGTAATAAAGTTTTGGACCTACGTAAAATTAATACTTATAACTAACAAAGTGTTTCATATTATAATACGAAAATGTTTATATAGACGTCGATGTTTATATAGATGTTTATATATACGAAAGTTTATATAGACGTCTACTTAGATATTATTAATGCATTCTCAATAGTTGTAATAATACAGTATAGGAAATAGACAAGAACTTGAAACTAGAATGAATTAGAATTTTATTCAGTGATTGAAGCAGTTTACTGTACAATATATGAATCAATTTTTTCCAAGATAAAGTATAAAAAATAGTAATAAAATTATGAACACGGACATCTTGTTTTGACTCTGATTGACCTTAATATTGTTATTTAGATTTTATTCTGAGAGTCTTGTTTCATTATTGTGACAACAAGCCGAACTCCGCAAGTATTATTCAATAATATTAGTTCAGTTCTATAATATATATATATATATATATACA